TCCTTCGGGATCTTTGTTGTGGTAAAGCTGCTTAGGAGCTGGGCTCGGGGGCGGCGGGCTTCGGGATCGGGCTGAGTGTTCCCGCGGGAGGGGCTGGGGGGGGCTACGAGTAGGGAAAAAAGAAAAAAAATAAGGCACTGTTAAGGAATGGGGTTGTTATCTGTAAGTAGTGGATGGTCTTAGGCTGGAAGGTGGATGCACCCATTGGAAAGGTACGTCTCAAAAGCTGACGGCCTGGTTTTGTTTTAAGTAGGTCCATGGTCAAAGGCTTTGGAGTAGCCATGGATAAAAGAGGAGGCGTAACAGAAACTGAAAACGGTGATGCTTTCCTGGAGTTGAACAGAATTGTGACAAAATACCCACATCGTTACACAAAGGTTAGCGCTCTCCCCTTTCCTCTGGAAGTTGTGCGCGGAGCTGTTGGTCACAGAAGTAGAGTGGGAGGTGGAGGTTTCTCTGAGAGGGAAGCAGCGAGGTGAAGGCTGAAAAGTCTTTGCTTGGATTAGGATTTGCAAGGTGGTGTGAAATGAGTGGCTTAAGTCTGATGTAGCTGCGCGGTCCTGTCCTTGATGCACTTTTTGATTCCCACCACCTTATTTTAATATCTGAGCACCTCACAGCATGTGCTGGAGAGATTATGGTAGAGACTGAAGTATGTTGTTCTACCAGCTTTCCCAAGTGCTTGCACTTCATAGTTCTAGTTCTACTTTCAGCAACGTTCCTGTAAGCTGTTGACCAAAATGTTTCCTTACAGTAGATGCCATTTCCTTGGAACATGTAGCACACTAGATCTTATCGGAAGCTTTAAGGTGTTTACTAAGATGCCTTTTTGTAATCTTAGAATTGCTCATATTTGGCTGCTGGAAGCCAAAGTGCTTCTGACTCCAACCAGTGCTTAGTGTTAAAACTTTAATACAGGTGCTTTTGTTTAGCTGTGATACCCAAATATGTGCATGAGTGGAAGAACAATAAATAACTTGCAAATAAAGATTCTTTCAATACTAAGTGAGTTTGATATGCTGTGGGGTTCAAGGTTCAAATCTTGCTTGAGGTTTTGGTACCACTGCTGAAAAACATGCTTTTAGAAAGAGCCTGTAATGGTGGCTGATTTTCCCATTGCTGAAACCTGTGGGAACAGGTGGTCATTGCTTTGTGGAAATCTATTAAGACTGTTTGCAACAAATGGCCTGAAGTGTGGAACAGGGTGAGACAGTGTGTTGTTGCTGACTGTGTTATCTTACTTGAGGAATTCTGAACTGTTAGCTTCCTACTAGGTTGTTTTTTAAAAGAAAAAAAATTATCATTGTGGCTTTGTTCTCTTGAGATAGTAGGGCTAGCTTATTTTAACGAGACATCAACAATAAACCAAGTACTTCATAATTGGCAAAACTTACATGGGAATTGTATGGCTTTCTAATTATCTCTAACTTATTCGAAAAGATGTAGACTTAACCTTCTAAGATGTAAACTATACTGTTGCTCAGACCTTGTTATTTAATTAACTATAAAGTGAAGGAGAGGAGCTCTCTTTAAACTTTTTTTGCTGCTGGAAAAGTGGTGTATCTATACTTGTTCAGCCTTGCCCAGCTCCTCTCAAGAGTAGTAACTGAATGCAGCTTCAAATTCTGTATGCTTTTTTGGGCAGTATTCAGCTAGTGCTGGTGGTAGCTATACACTGAAACCGATCCACTTGTAGCTTCAGTTTTGTTAATTCAGTACCTGTAGTTTCTGATCAGGATAGAGTTGCAGAACTAGTGCCAGAAGGCATCTGGTC